GTAATCTTTTATGTCTGTGGTCATGTCTTGCGTCTCTTTATCTCCTCCTCAGCACGTTTCTGACAAGAACGACCTTCTTCTGCCTCATCAGTTAAAACATATTTATAAGTTATTGATCAATCGTTGATCAGAGTTCAGGTCTGAAAGGCTTCACGATACTTTAAATGTGACATTCAAAGGTAACAACGTTAAATCTGACCCCGAGCAGACGAACACCGAGTCGAAGGTCTCCGTCTTCTGACAACCCGACGAATCGGACGACGTCACTTCCCACGTCGTCGTCTCGCCCTCCGTTGTCATGACGACAGGCTCCACCTTCTCCACTGCGGTGTTGAACTGACAAACGAGAGTCACAGCGAAGCATCAGTCACGTTCAACTCAAGGAAAATGGTCTTTAAATCATCGACACAATGACAACAGCTGGGAACGCTTCGGACGAGTCTTCTCAGTGGTCGTCTTGCATCTCCTGCGTCATCATTTAAGTCTCTTCGTCTTATTTTAAACATCTTCTATACGAGAACTTTGTGGATGTTTGTAAATTAAAGAGACTTCAGATCTCTTTGACCCAAAGCTCAAACTTTTACTTCAATCAGACATGACAGAGCAACACCTGGAGAGGTTTGGATTGAAACGACTGAACCGTTGACTCGGTTGTAAGACGAGGCCGACTGACCCGGATGTGCGGCCGGATGCGGTGGTTCTGGCAGTAGCTCTCCAGGTACCGCTGGATCTCCTGATGGGGCAAGAAGCTGCTGAGCTGAGGGTCGAAGGGGAAGTCTGGGAACATCATCACCTCTTTGGGCAGGTTGGTCCTGAAACCATCCAGAGGACTTTAGCTCCGAACAATAAACCCGACAACGAGTCGTCATCGGGGATTTGTTTTGTTCAACACATGGGCGCTGAGTTAGAGGCTCAGTGGAAGCAGACATGGAAAAGATTTAAAACACACACAGCAGGAAGTCACAGACCCACAACAAGGACACACAAAGTGAGCACACAGACATGAAACGGCCACAAACCAACCAGAAGGAGAAAACATGACGACAAAGACACACAACATGACGGAAGAACAGATACACAACGACCACGAAGAGACAGAATCACTACAAAGAGACAAAACGACCCCAGCAAGGTGCAAAATGACCACAAAGATGCTTCTGTAGCCGTGCAGTGAGCCCACCTCAGGTTTCTGTACATGCTGCTGTGGACCGGCCGGCCGTTGTCGTCCGTACCGACGCGCTCGTCGTAGCACCAGGTGCCGCCGACGTCATCGCTGAGCTCGAACACCACCGGAGGGGCGAAGCCGCCTGGACGGGACAGGATGTGTCGGGCTGCACAGAGTCCGGCCGGACCGGCGCCGACCACCGCGACCCGCCGCAGCATCGTCCTGATCCGAACAGACAGCTGGAGAGGCATCACGTCAGATTAGAAAAGTCAACCATGGAGAGAACAAACGACAAGAAAAGGCCTCAAATACAATCAGACAGACGCACAGAATGACCCTACAAACACACAACAACCACAAAGACACACAACATGATACGAGANGCTCCACCTACCTGCTGACCCACTATTCTCTTCCTAGTCCACCCTCAGGTGTGCAGCCTCCATCAGTCCACCTGCTGCCACTCGGTGTCGCTGACCAGCCGGTAGTTGGTCCTGCGGTAGTTCTCGGGGTGAACCCATCGCTGCCTCCACACCTCCTCGTACAGACTGCGGACCACTGGGGGCAGCGGGGGGAAGCCGGCGGACCGGGCCAGGACCTGGCAGTACTCCCACTGGTCCTGCTCCAGGACCAGCAGGTGGCGCCGCTCCACTCCCCGCTCCTCCTTCTGCTGCTGCTCCAGCCGAGCCTCCTCCTCCATCTGGGCCCGGGGAGGCAACGCAACAGAACCGTCCAACACGGCCAGAGCGAACTGGACCTGCAGGGACGACAGGAGCCGATCAGAACCTCCAGGTTAGAACCTGCAGACGCCCGAGCTCACCTGAGCGCTGCAAGTAGAAAAGAGACACACAAACATCCCCACAGACACACAA